GCCTGGCTTGAGCATTTGAAAGCCCAAAGCCCACCCCCAGTGACACATGTCCTCCAACAAGGCCACACCTACTCCAACAAGCCACACCTCCTAATCCCTGTCAAGTAGTACCACTCCCTAATGACCAAGTACTCAAATCTATGGACCTAATGGGGGCCATTTTTATTCAAACCACCACACAAGGGAAACAAGCTCTGTTTCCTTAACCACTGGGTCATTTGGAGAGGAGGAAAGTAGTTGGGGGAGGGGGACTTCAGAAAGGCACAGCAGGATGCTGGCTAATTTATTTTAATGAAATTGACTTGTTTGGAAATCCCTCTGCATGTACAAGCAAAGTCCCAGGTTGCGCTTACATTTGTCCCTCATTCTGTGTCCCTGATGGGACCCACATGTCATTATAAATTTTTTCCTGGCTACTTGATGGCAAGCTATAGTCATGGTGCCTCATTACCCTCCAGGACCAAGATGTGTGTCCATAAACAAGGTTATGTCCCCAGGTCATGGAGCTGTAGCCTTCAAGTCATGAAGTCAACTTTGACATAGGTCTGATGTCCTTTAGGAAGAAATTGGGGTCCCTGGAGAAGAGGTTACTTCACAGATTTAGTTCCTCTCTGACTCCCAACCCCAGTGACTCTCCTACCACCACCACCACCCCCCCCCCTGCGCCCCATTCCCCGTCTCCCTTTAGGAACACAGTTGCCTGCAGCTATGGCCTTGGATGTTTGGAGGAGTGAAGACCTTGCATTGTATCTGACGACCTGTAGCTCAGGTCCATCTGATGCTTCCGCTTCCTTGAACCTATGCTGTGTGTTCTCTGCACTGTGTCCTGCCCTACTTTGGATGGCCACCATCCTCACTGACATGCTGTGGTTCTAGGCTTCACTACCTCAGAGCTATCGTTTTCTTTTGGTAATGATACATCTTACAGAGGGATTACTTAACAGTCCCTAGGAACCTGCTCACCACCAAGCCTCCTCTCTGCTTCCTCTCACCAGGAAGCATTTTGTCAGCACAATGTCCAGGGCCCAGTTTGCTACAAGGGGATGAACATGACCATTATTATTGTTTGTTCTGATTCTCAAGTTATCTGATCTTTGAGTTTCTTTAGGAGGCCTCTTGTGTTGTGTTGACGCATCCTCAATCTTCCAGCACTCTAATTTTTTGGTATAAGATGTGCTAGACTTGTTTCATCCTGCTACTGCCTCAGCCCTGGGGCCAGCAACTTCCCCAGCAGCCCTGCTTCCTCCCCGGAGGAGGACATTTGCAAACCTGATCTGGGCCTAGTGTGCTCATGACTCCTGGGCTGGTTTCTTCCAGCCTTCTGCATGGAGCAGGCAGAAGAGACCTGGAAATGTATGCCCATGTACATCTGTGGCTATCTCCACATCTACTGTGAGTTTGCATATTAAAAATGAGCAACTCTTGGTAGGACTTCTGTAATTGGACATGGTCAGTTCACACTGTGGTAAGCACAAAGCCAAAGTCAGAACAGCCAACATGGGAAAGATTCCTTACCTGTAGAGCGAAGGAGATCACAAAGCGACTTCCAAAGCAGTGGTCTCCCCAAACAAAGCGTGGGGGTTTCGTTTAGCAGGGGAGTCTGTCCATATTCGTATGGGGAGGGTCACTCCTGAACACGCTCAGGTTAAGATCATAACTGAAAAAGAAAAGTCACAATGGGAATGGTGGCGCCCGCCTTTAACCCCAGCACTAGGAAGGCAGAGGAGGTGGATCTCTTGTGAGTCTGAGGATAGTCTGGTCTATATAATGAGCTCCAGGACAGCCAGAGCTATGTGGGGAGACCCTGCCTGTGTGTGTGTGTGTGTGTGTGTGTGTGTGTGTGTGTGTGTGTGTGTACATACATATATATATATATATATATATATATATATATAAAGTCTCAAATCACATGTGAAAGATTGACATGACGACAGACATGTCCCTGGGCATGCTTGGATTGCCCAATTTTAGCTGAAAACACAGGGAAGGCTACTTTGAAGAGGTCCATGCACCCAGGAGTCTATCCCTGAAAGCTCTTGTTTTGCCTGGTCACTAATTTTTCCACTGCCAGGACAACACAAGTCCTTTCTACTCTTCTCCCCTCCCATAACTATGTAGCTCAAGCTAGCCTCAAACTCACACAACCCTCCTTCCTCAGCCTCCTGGCAGCTGGGATTACAGGTGTACACCATTCAGCCCCACGGAAACCCCATACTCAGTGTAGTGCTGGGATGTGTCAGGTGGTCCATTGCTCTTGATGCTCATGTGTGCATCTGTGGGGACTGTAATGTCAGCACTATGTAGGAATGAAGTGGAGAGCTCTCAGGACCCCGGCGGGGCAGAAGACATGGAAACGGAGGAGGCTGAGAGTGTCAACACCTTTAGGACAAAGGACGGGTCCTCAGTAAGTTCCTGGTGTGGTTAGTCTCCTTTGTCTACTTGACTGGATTTTGAGTCACCAGGAGATGAGACTCTGGTGTGTCTATGAGGGCTTCTCCTCCCACCCCCTAAGCGGTTTAACTAAGGCAGGAAGACTGACCCTGGATGTGGGAGGTACCAAAACCCTTAGGGCAGGGATTTCGGCATGAATAAAAAGGGGGAAGAGCGTTCATCTGGCTCTGTGCCCTGACTGTGGGTACAGTGTGATCCCAAGCTCCTACTTCCATTCTTCCCCGTCATGATACATTGTACCTTCCCTGTGAGCCCACATAGACTGTTTCTTCCTCAAGTTCCTTTTGACCAGTATTTTGTCACAGCAGTGAGACAAGTAATTAATTCTACTCTCTGTGCAGTATCTGGATGTTGCTTTCAGGTCATTTGGTGGGTTTATGGGAAAGTCACTCCTGAATGGGGACTTTTTCCAGACACTTGCCCATTCACTGCCTTCCCTTCATCAGGGCATGTGTGCTCACAGAGGAACAGCATGGGAGAAGGGCTGTATCTGCTACATTGTGACTAGTGTTAACTTGACCTGGGAAGACAGGCTTGGTTCACAAGGTTGAGCTTGCAGAAACTATTAATGTTGAATGGAGTCCATGGGAATGGTCTCTAAGGCCTTTGGGATGTGCAGGGGCATTTTTTGAACCTAGGAAGAGCCTCTAGAGTGTTCTTAGGATATCACAGAAAGAGATGCATGCACAGGACACTGGAACAGACCGAAGGGGAACATGGCCAGTGCTGCTTGCCCGAGATCCTATCTTGCAACACTATTTTATTAGTTTTTGAAAGAGGCTCTTGCTATGTAGCCCAGGCTACTCTTGAACTCAAGATCCTCCTGCCTCAGCCTCCTAAGTGTGGTAAGCTACCACTCCTGGCTCAAAGATAACTTTATAGGAAGTTTTAAATTTTTCTAGGATTTGATTATGAACTAGAAGGGATTCCAATATCTGCAGCTTATTTTTTAAGTGGTTTTATAGTGATTCATGTTTATAACTTGTCTGAGGTGACCCGAGGTCATTAGAACAACTATAAGACCTACTATATGACAGGGGTACAGTCAGCTCTGGTATGGAGACTATGGGGACTCTGTGCCTTCAAGACCTGTGATTGGCTACAACTTGATAAGCACTATTTATTTATTTGTTTATTTATTTTGGTCTTTTTGTCCTGGAACTTGCTTTGTGGACCAGGCTGGACTTGAACTCAGACATCCGTCTGCCTCTGCCTCCTGAATGCTGGGATTAAAGGTGTGTGCCACCACTGCCTGGCTATTTCTTTCTTTAAAATTGAAAATTTATGTTATTAAAAAATTGGCTTTGGGGCATTGATTTCTCAAAACTGTATCTATCCTATAGTGTTAGGGATGTAGCTCAGTTGGTAGAATGCTTGCCTAGCATGCTTCAAGCCCTGGGCTCAGTCCCCAGCACTGAGTAAACTGGATATGGTGGCCTATGCCTCTTAATTCTAGAACTTGGGTGATGAAGGCAGGATTGAAAGTTCACAGTCACTCTTAGGTGCATAGAGAGTTCCAAGTTATCCTGGGCTCTGTGAGACCCTTTCTGAAAAACCAATCGACCAACCAACCAACCAACCAATAACCTGCTCTTTTCGAATCCTTCAAATTTGGCAGTTTTCTCCCAAATGATTAGCATGATTAAAAGAAAAAAAATCAGCTGCCCTTCTGGGTGTGGGGCACAGTCATGACCACCATGGAGCCTGGTAAACTACAGCCCCTAACAGCTGGGAGATCAAAGCAATGGAAAGGTCTTGGAACACTGCAGAAGAAACCAACAGTCAGGAGAGCAGCCCTCAGCCTTGGGTGACTCAGATGGAGCCGGCTGGGGCTGAGGAGAGAGCTGGGTTGTAGATGGAGCTGGCTGGGGCTGAGGAGAGATCTGGGTTGTAGATGGAGCTGGCTGGGGCTGAGGAGAGAGCTGGGTTGTAGATGGAGCCGGCTGGGGCTGAGGAGAGAGCTGGGTTGTAGATGGAGCCGGCTGGGGCTGAGAGAACTGGGTTGTAGATGGAGCCGGCTGGGGCTGAGGAGAGATCTGGGTTGTAGATGGAGCCGGCTGGGGCTGAGGAGAGAGCTGGGTTGTAGATGGAGCCGGCTGGGGCTGAGGAGAGAGCTGGGTTGTAGATGGAGCTGCTGGGGCTGAGGAGAGATCTGGGTTGTAGATGGAGCCGGCTGGGGATGAGGAGAGAGCTGGTAGATGGAGCTGGCTGGGGCTGAGAGAGCTGGGTTGTAGATGGAGCTGCTGGGGCTGAGGAGAGATCTGGGTTGTAGATGGAGCCGGCTGGGGCTGAGGAGAGAGCTGGGTTGTAGATGGAGCCGGCTGGGGCTGAGAGAGCTGGGTTGTAGATGGAGCTGCTGGGGCTGAGGAGAGATCTAGGTTGTAGATGGAGCCGGCTGGGGCTGAGGAGAGAGCTGGGTTGTAGATGGAGCTGCTGGGGCTGAGGAGAGAGCTGGGTTGTAGATGGAGCTGCTGGGGCTGAGGAGAGAGCTGGTTTATCTCCCTGAGTTTCACAGCCTTTCTCCCTCTTTGACCTCTTTGGGTTTCCAGCAGAGACACTGAGACAGCGATTGGAAGACCTGGAACAGGAGAAAGACCATCTGCCTTGGGTTCTGCCTTCACAACAACCACCTCTTGCCAGCTTCTTGGGCTTCCTAGCAGCACAGACCCGGGTGGCCTTGCACGGAGCCACCCAAAGGTGAGTAGCTGTGGATGCCACCACAGTCTGCACTTGGCTCTCCTTTCTCTGCTGTCCTCTCTCCATCCTGTTGTCACTGACCATTCTCCTTGCTGCTTCTGGGGTCTTGCCTCTCTCCCTGTATCTTCACATTGACATCCCCACCTCTGCAGGATCCTGCGTACTTCCGGTGTCTCAGACATAAGCACCAGACATCATTTTGCACAAATTCCAGTCCTCTGAGGATTCCTCCCTAGCATTTGCCTCTCTGTAGAGTGATGACCCTGGGCTTCCTGTGGTCAATAATACATTTATTAACGTCATTTTTTTATCCTTAAAGAGGTACTGTATTTTTATCCTTGCCTTGATTAAGCTTATTATGGATGATGGTTGGTTTTGGCTGTCAACTTGGCTGCATTAAGAGATGTCTTAGACCGGTAAACCACACTCATGGGGCTATGGGGACAATTCCCAAGGTGATTGACACCTGGGACAGTTATCAGGAGAAGAAAGAAGGCAGAGGATGAGGCTGCATGCATGCTCATGCCTTCCCTGTCTCTCTGTGCATGTGCGGCCGCTGCTATTCTGCTCACATCAGACTCCAACTTCTTTAGCCTTTCGACGACGTGGACTCAATGCTAACAGCTCTCCAGGGAGCTTCCAGGCTTCCAGCTCTGGCTTGATTCTGCTGAGGTGCCCAGCTTTGTGGGCTGAGCAGCTCCTGTTCCCCTGTCTCTGCAGTATGCAGGCAGCCGTAGTCGGATTAGCCAGCTTCTAGCATGTAAACCAATCTAATTCCTCTCTTATAGTACATGAATTCTGTTTTCTGTTCCTCTGGAAAACCTTGCCAAAACATTCTTTTAAATTTTTTTATTTTGGGGCTGGAGAGATGGCTCAGAGGTTAAGAGCACCAACCACTTTTCCAGAGGTCCTGAGTTCAATTCCCAGCACCCACATGGTGGCTCACAACCATCTGTAATGAGATCTGGCACCCTCTTCTGTATACATAATAAATAAATAAATCTTTAAAAAAATTTTATTTTATTTTTTTAACCTGTGTACCTGTGTATGAAGTGCATGTGTATATGTATTTTTGCATGTGTGTGGGTGCATATCTGTGTGTGCATATGGAGGTCCAAAGTTGATTTCTCTCTACTTTATTGAGGTGGGGTCTTTTGATGAACCTGGATCTCATTGATTCTGGTTAGTTTAGTCAGCCAGATTGCCTGGAGGACCCCCTATCTTTGCCTCCTGAGTGCTGAGATTATGAGATTACTTGGGCCCCCAAGTCTGCCAGCCTTTTGTGTGGGTTATGGGATCTGAACTCTGATCCTCAGGCTTGTGCAGTAAGTCACCTCCCCAGACCCACTGTCTTTAAGGAGGAACTCCACTAATCTATTATTGCTCTTCTCCTTCTCCTCCTCCTCCTCCTGGATGCCTTGTCTCATGACTTCTGCCTTCCGTTACCTCAGAAACACCTCAGATTTCCATCCCATGACCCTCTAATTCACGGGGTGCCAGCTCTGCTCATCTATCATCTCTGTTATTCCCACTCACCTTTCCAACCTCTATCCCAAACCTTCCTCCGCTCTCTACAGTTTCCATCTGGGTTATTGCAGCAGCCTCTTGCCTTGCTGGATTTTCTTACTCCACCTTTGGACCTCATCCACCTCCCACAAAGCAGTAAGGAGAAACCTCATGCTGGAATCAGGGGCTCCTGGGATTTCAGGATGGACCTTGTGCTCTGAGTGGGACCCCCAAAGCCTCTGTGGTGCAGCCTCACCAGTGCCCAGCATCTAACTGGTCAGCACCAGCACCAGCTTCCGACACAGCGGAACCTCGCTCGAGTCTGTGATCTCTCATGGTCCTGGTGCAGTCACCAGTGGTTGCTCATCCTTCAAGAAAAGCCACCATCCCCCCAACCCTCTGCCTGTCAGTCACACATCTCATTGAGACTTCCTAGAATATCCTGAGTGACAGTGTCCTCGTCCGAAGCCTTCAATCTGCTGCCTTGAATATCCCCTCATTCTGAAGGATGACTGTCCCCAGAGGAGGACTGCACTATATTTACCTTTCCAACTGACTTTTGCAGGAGCTCCATATGTATACATGTTTATATAGGTTCACAAGCATGTATGTGAACACAGAGAGTGGGGTGGGGGGGTGGGGGGGGTGGGGGGAAAGCTGGAGGATGAACCTCCACACTCCCTACTCACCTCATCAGAAACTGAGGGACTCTGTCTTCCTCACTTTTGTTGTATTTTATTCTTGGCTCTTTCTTTCGTCAATTTCACCTGTCCTGCTATTACCGTAGCTGGAAAATGACTTGATATCTGTTTCATTATATCACATTTTTACAAAGCACATGGGCATGGCTACGTAGCTGCTCTGCTAATAATTAAAGTCTGTCTTTGCATGTGCCAGCCGCTCATTGGCCTGAGAAGTTTGTCCTCACCAGGGCCAGCTGATCTGGAAGGCTCCCCAGGAGACAGTAGCTCCTGCAGTCCTCACAATGACCACCAGGGGGACCTGGACACAAACTTCTCAGGAGCTTGGCCTTGAGTCCAGGGGAAAAAGGCTATTTTAAACGCTGAGGACTTTTCCTGCAGAAATAAAATAGTTTTGTTAACATGGCCAGCTTTCAACACGAATTAGTAACTCAAATAAGTACCTCTTTACCTTTCTGGGATCAAGTGTTTCTATGAGAATCTGATGAAAGCAATGTATGTTCCCATATTCAAACGGCCAGGGCTATCTCATGAGAGATCATCAGATTTGAGGCCCTCCTAGTCACTCTGGCCAGAGGAGGAGGAGGTGTCTTAACATCTCAGGTTATGAAAGTTTAGAGTAGTATTTAAGGGGATGTAAATAACTCCAGAGTCTACCAGCTACTTAATTTTTACTGTCACTTATTTTGAAAATTACTGTTCAACTTCTTAAGTAAGCTTGTGGCTTTTGCCTCCCGCCCCCAAACTGTTTATATCAGCACCCGAGTCACTAGGGTTTGGAGGTCACTGCATGCTCTAACAATGGCCACCAGTCCCCACACTGTCTTCCTGGTGTTAATCTCTGTTGCTCAGTAATGGGGCCAGTCCCTGGATGAGGTGGATGCTGCTCCTTGGCTCAAGATAGCTTTTTTGTTTGCTTGTTTGGTTGGTTGGTTTTTGGTTTCTTTGAGACAGAGTTTCTCTGTGTAGCCCTGGCCATCCTGGAACTCACTCTGTAGAACAGGCTGGCCTCGAACTCAGAGATTCCCGTCTCTGGTTTTGTTCTTTGACAGTCTGGTAAATCCACTTCTCCACTTTGTTAGAACATCCTGGGTAGATAGCACAGCCATTGGGGGAAGTTCTGATTTTCTTTTCCATATAGCCCTGTCACTCTGGGATGCCAACCACAGGTCAGATTCACAGTTTGGCCTGCCTGCTGTTTGGATCCCTATTCTGCTGCCACAGCAGCTCCCTGACTAATGGAGTCAATGTCCTCTGTATTCAGGTGTTAGTATGCTCACTGTCCTGTGGGACACACGGTCCCCACTTCATGGCCCACACTCTGGCTTCAAATGACCTTCATGTGCCCTATATACACACAGAATATCTTTTATCAGAGACCTTACCTCAGAGGATAAATTAAGACACATGGGAGCAGAGTCTGACAAAGATCAAAAATGAAGGACAGGCAGGATTTCCAGTCTTACCATGATAGAAACTCTGGCACTGTCCAGATGTAACAGCTGCTGCTTGTCTGTTCCCCTGAGACGGGACCAAAACTGTAAGTATAGGCTGGCAGCATGCCACCCTGGACTGCCTGCTTTTCCTTTCTTCCCTCTCAAGCATACAAGCCTTTGATTTCAAGTGGATACCATGGCAGACTGTAGTGTCACAGGGCCCAGTGACCCTCAGATTGGGACGAGTATCCAGGGCACTGAAGGAAAACTCCCAAGACGTTAGCAGGGAATGAAGACGTTAGCATTCTGCAGCCATGCTTTTCTCTGTGGCTCGTGATTAGGTTTTACAGGCGGGTTTCATCCCTTCAATGATCGATGGGCAAGAAACCAGACAGAAAGAGGAAGCTTTCCCCACAATAGGGCTGGTCCTAGTGGGCACCAATCTGAACCCCTGAGGCTGAGAGTAATATCTTAGATCTTAGACACCCCCACCCACCCTGGGTCCCCGCTAGCACCAAGCAGCAACATCCCATGCTGCTGCAGGTTTTTATCTTCCCCTGAGGGGTCTGCTCATTTTACATACTGATTAGTTTATAGCAGCGATGCCAATTTGCTCTGCCATGAGGGATCACATATTGAGACTTAACGAATATACAGAAAAGAGTGTGTAGCAGAAGGGAGACTCTGGGGACCAGAAACATGGAAGATGGAAACCTGTCCCTGCTTCATAACTGAGGGATGTGTCCTGGGGCCACCCCTGGCTCTCCATGGATCTCTTTTCTGTCCCGGGAGTAGGAGTATGAGAGACACATAGAGGAGTGTTAGTTAAGCACAGGGCTTTTCTTATGGGTTAAGTATTGGATGTGATTAACCATCATGCATAGCGTTCGTTCCCAGCTACGCACCTGTGGCTTCTCTGTGCAGCTGATTTTGCAATTCTGTGTTGACTTCCTATACTAGCTCCCACCTCGACCCAGATGGCATCGATTCAAGAAATTCAGGGAACTCTAATATCAGCATGCACCGAGGAAATTGGGAAATAAGGGAAGAAATGAGCGAATGCAGGAGGAGACAGGAGAGAAATGACTTCTCCGTTTTCAAGGCTATGGGCTCATTAAGCCACCCAGCAGGTATCTGCTGAGTCCCGACTCAGTGCTGGGCACTGGGGACATCAGCATAAGAGGAGCTGTGTCTCCCTCCGAGATTCACAGTCAAGCCTGAAGAGCATGTAGCGGCTCAGAGCCTGGAGAAGGGCTGATATCCTCTTTTCACAGCCGAGGGCGCCTTAGACCTGTTAGACACAGAAGAGGCTTATTGTGCCGCTGTCTTCACATTCATGTTCATCCTGTGTAGGAGTGTGTCCACCAGACAGGTCCAGTGTTCAGTTTACTAGTGCACATGTTAAGATGTTGGAGGACTCCAGAAAATGCCCCAAGGGCAGGGTTGTCCTACTGCCTTGTCCAGGCAGTCCAGTATGAGGAGGACCATGGGGTTCAGAGGGTAGTTCAGAGATACAGCCAGAGAAAGGCAAATCCAAGTTCTCACTGTGGCCGTGACCTCTGTGAACTGTGTTCTTCCTGTCCCATGCCATCCTGGGAAGATCCCCTCGGGGGACTTCCCCATGGGGGAGGGTAGGATGTGATAGAAAGGGGAACAGGTGTCTGAACTTCCTGGGAATCTTATGGCCTGGGGTGTCTTGGAAAGTGGTGGAGTGTAGGTGACATGCTGGCTGGTTGTATGTCAACTGGACATAGCTAGAGTCATTGGAGAGGAGGGAGCATCACGGAGAAAATGCCTCCATAAGATTGGGCTGTGGACAAGTCAGTAGGGCATTCGTTTAATTAATTGTAGATTGATAGGGGTCCTGGGTTCTATAAGAAAGCAGACTACTGAGGGTGGAAGCTGAAATAAACTGCTTCCTTCTCTCTGGTGCTTTTTGGTCCGAGTGTTTTATACAGCAGCAGAAAGGGAACTGGACACTATAGGTTAGCCATCTCCATGACAGACTGTAGTTGAAACAGAGATGTACGTTAGGGGCTTCATCCCTGTGACTGGGGAAGCTTTGTGCAGTCTCTTGAAGTACATGTAGACCTGAGGATGTCTGTTTCTCCACACCTCTATGTAGTTGGTTGTTTTTCACTCTTTGCTCTTTGGGGGCCCACCACCCAGTTTCCAAAAAAAATACACATGGAGTCTTACTCTTACTTATGAATGCCCAGCCTTAGCTCGGCTTATTTCTACCCAGCTTTTTTTTTTTTTTTTTTTTTTTTTCCAGAGCTGAGGACCGAACCTCGGGCCTTGTGCTTGCTAGGCAAGCGCTCTACCACTGAGCTAAATCCCCAACCCCCACTCAGCTTTTCTTAACTTAAATTACCTGTCTAGCTTTTGCCTCTGGGCTTTTGTCTTTCTCTGTTCCTGTATACCTTTGTTTACTTCTCACTCCGTGGCTTTCTATGTAGCTGGGTGGCTGGCCCCTGATGTCCTCCTCTACTTCTCCTTTCTCTCGCTCCTCTGTCCTCTTTTCCCAGGGTTCTCCTTCTATTTATTCTCTCTGCCTGCCAGCCCCGCCTATCCTTTCTCCTGCCTAGCTATTGGCTATTCTGCTCTTTATTAGACCAATCAGTTGTTAGACAGGCAAAGTAACACAGCTTCACAGAGTTAAACACAACATAAAAGAATGCAGCACATCTTTGCATCTTTTTTTTTTTTCTGGTTTTTCAAGACAGGGTTTCTCTGTGTAGCTTTGTGCCTTTCCTGGAACTCACTCTGTAGCCCAGGCTGGCCTCGAACTCACAGAGATCCGCCTGCCTCTGCCTCCCGAGTGCTGGGATTAAAGGCGTGCGCCACCACCCGGCTACATCTTTGTATCATTAAACAAATGTCCCACAGCATAAACAAATGTAGCACATCTTAAATTAATATTCCATAACACCTGTTCCAATGCATATCTGTTACTTGAAGGGCTGGCATCAATGACCCAGAGGCCCCACTTGAAGGAGAGCCAAGGACCGCTGCCCAGGACAGCCTGCCTGCATCCATCACCAGGCGGGACTGGCTTATTCGAGAGAAACAGCAATTGCAGGTGAGCAGTATAGAATCTTCCAGAGAAGGAGTGGCCCTTTTCTTATCCATGTACATCAGATGCAGTGAAGTGGGCCTTTGCTTTGCTGAAGTGCAAGGGCTCAAAGCAGAAGTAATGGAGTGGCCAGAAGGCACAGAGGAATCTCTTTTGCACATAACAGGGTTGCAGCTGCACAGCATTATGGGCCTCAGGACCTTCTGACTTTGCTTTCTGACTGTGGCAGCCAGTGTCTCCTCCCATTATTGACCTGTAGAAGCTCCCCTTTGAGGGATAAGGACAGATTTGTGGTCTGGGAATGCTTTGTGGGAGTTCCCACCATGATGGACTCTGGGAAGGGACATGGTTTTACATCTGGCCTGGGTACAAGGCTGTAATGACCAGCAGGTGCATGGAAGCCATGCTTGGCACAGAGCAGTGGTGACATCTGGCCGAGAAGGTCCAGGGCGAGAATGCTGAATAAGGATCCAAGGTGAGACCAGAGCTAGGAAGGGGCTCCAAAAGTTCTTGAAGTAGTCCTGGGGCTGGGATGAAGAGGAGGTGGGGTGTGGGACTACTTGAGCCTGGAGCCTGGAGCAGAAACTGGGAACTGTGAGAAGCATTGGCTGACAGCATCAGGGATGCATGGAAGAGCCTCAATGAATAGAGTGGAAAAGCCATCAGACATGATTCTTAACTTCAACTTTGGGCCTCCACATGCACACACCCCCACATGCATAGGCGTTCCACCCACACATGCCCACACACATGCACACATACACATACCACACACAAAAAAATGGAAAAAAATAACAAAAGAATAAGATGTAGGATCATCACTGAAAATAGTTTGCAGTCCCTCAAAAACTAAAAAATAGAATCCTTAGGACCCAACCATCCTGCTGTGGTTACACACGTGAACAGAAATGAAAGCACAGACTAGATGAGACATCTGAGCTACTACAGTCGATGACAGCCCAAGTGTCCATCGCTGGGTGGGTAAGCAGAATGTGGAGTGGGTGCAAAGGTCTGTAAGGACATTGTGCCACAGGGCACAGTGCAGGTGGATGTAGAGGACATTGTGTTGTGCTACGTAAGCCAGTCATGAACGATAGATACTGTAAAACTCTACTTAGAAGAAATCCTCGAGTAGGAAAGTAGATTGGTGGGGTAGGGGTGGGGATGGGGTGGGGGCAGGGGTAGGAATGAGGTGGGGGTAGGGATGGGATGGGGTGGGGGTGGCAGGGGGATGGAGAGTTAGTGTTTAATGGAGACAGTTTTGTGGTTGGACGGTGAGGATGCTGGCACGGTTTGTGTGCATGCCTAACGTTACTGAATTATGCATGCAAAATGGTAGAGATGCTATGTCTTTTGTTATGTCTCTCTTACTACAGTTTAGAGAAACCAGAGCCTGTCTTCCCAGTACAGGGAGGCTGAGGCAAAAGTATTGCTGTAGGTTCAAGCCTGGGCTATAAGAGAAGTCCTGGGCCAGCTACTGAGTGAGACATTGATTCTAAGAAACAAAACCAAAACCAACAAACTAAAATGAGTGTGGGTCTCAGAGGTGGACACAGAGTGGTCAGTTGTGAGCATTTATTGCACACGCTGAGGCGGTGGGCTAGAGAGATGCTCAGGGAGTGTTACCTCACCCCTCTCTCTCTTCTCTGGGTGGGTGCAGGAGGTAGAGGCTGTGGAGAATCTGTGCTGTGGGTGGAGAGAACATTCAGGAGATAGGGAGATATCAGGAATTAAGCCGTACTCTTATCAGCTAGGAACAGTGAGGGAACAGGGGGCGTGTCCATTAGCAGAGTCTGGTGTTATATTCAGACTCCTACGCAGTGAGATGGCTATCTGCCCAGCACTGAGCTCACACTGCGTTCAATTACCTGCTGCTTGTTTATTCCTTGGCCTGGAGACAGATGATGGTTATGGATTAACTTAGATTCTGGCTTAATAAATTAGGGCAAATTGTGTGTATGTGTGTGTGTGTGTGTGTGTGTGTTTGAATGTGGGCACAGGTGTATGTGTGTGCACGTGTATGTGGAAGACAGAAGTTGATATTTGATATCTACTCCAATCTCCCTTCACCTTAGTTTTTGACACAGGGTCTCTCACTGAATCTAGACTTCACTGATTGAGCTGGCTAGCAAGTCCCTAGCATCCTCCTGTCTTCTGCCTCCCCCCACCCCATGCCGGGGTTACAGATTCATTCTGTGGGTCCCCAGCTTTTGCATGGGTTCTGGGCATCAGAACTAGCTTTTCCTGCCTGCATGGCAGCACTGGGCTGATGGAGTCGTCTCACTAACCCTGGGAATTAAATTGGTCCAACATTCTGAAGGACTCCGTGACTTGACAGCACCTTGTTCTCTCAGTCCTGTTGACCCAACAAGCCAAGGTTCCTATTTTTCTGTGCATCCTAAGTTCCTGTGTTTGGGAGCAGGCTGCCTTTTTCCCTCCTGGCCCACAGCTGGTGTCCCAGTGTTTGGTGTGAGCGGCTAGAGCCCTGACTTGCCCATCAGAAGCGAAGCCAGTGATATATCATTTGCTGGGTTCTCTCAAGTCAAAACCTTGGCTAGCACCTGTCCGTATTTACTGCTTGGGAAGGAGGGAATGTTTGTCCTTCTGCCAGTTCATCAGAAACGTAAAGCTGGCATGGTGTTTCCAGTTCAGCAAACTTCTGGAATTCGCCTGCCTCGGAAGGGTGGGGGTGGGCTTCGCGACTGTGGTGCACATGGCCTGCTCTCATTTAACCGAGTCATTATCAGCAGAGCAGGGTTAATGGATGAAATCTGTTCCCCCATTCTCTGCAGAAGGAAATCGAAGCTCTGCAATCGAGGATGTCTGCGCTGGAGGCTGAAGAACAGCAGCTGAGTCAAGCGTTGGAGGGGCAGGAGACACTGCTCCAGGAGCAGGGCTGTGACCTGACGCCACTGGTGGCCCAGCTGTCCCCGGGCCAGCTGCAGGAAGTCAGCAAGGCCTTGGGAGAGACCCTGACCTCTGCCAGCCAGGCTCCTTTCCGAGTGGAGCCACCTGAAACCCTCAGGAGGTATTGGTGACTTTCTAACTGATTTTCCGACTTGGCCCCTTTCACCTGTTTATTGGGGTGACTTTGCCGGCCATGGTCCACGGGGGTGCTTCTCCGGCAGTCTGTTTGTTTGGTGGAAGTGCTAGAGGTGTTTTGATTCTTCACTGCAGGGTCAGTTCTGAGCACTGGGAGTTATTTGGCATCCAGTCCCCCCAATCCCTAGCTGCCAGCGCTGTCCCCTCTGCAGTATGCAGTTTCCATCATTCTGAGGGGTGGACTTGTCTAGCCTACCCCCCTCCCTTCTACGTCTGGGGGTCAGTTGGATGGAGATTTTGACATTGGCTTTTGCTGAAGACAATCAGCTGGAGAGAGACAGATTCCACTGCTAAGAGATAGGGCGTGACATTGGAAGAGTGTGACTTGGGGATAGGGTGTGGCATTGAAAGAGTGTGACTTGGGAACAGGGTGTGGCATTGAAGAGTGTGACTTGGGGACAGGGTGTGGCATTGAAGAGTGTGACTTGGGGATAGGGCGTGGCATCAAAAGAGTGTGACCTGGACTGGGAAGATGGTCAGTTACAAAAGTTTTTACTACACAAGCGTGAGGACCTGATCTTGAACCCCCAGAACCCACATAGAAATCTGGTGTGGTATAACCCCATTTCTGGGGGTGCAGACTCAGGAGGATCCCTGAGGCTTGCTGGCCAGCCAGGTTAGCTGTGTTGGTGAGCTCCAGGTTCAATCACATTCTGTCTCTCTCTGCTCATTCACACACACAAAACCAACCAACCAACCAACCAACCAACCAAACAACCAAACAAACAAAAATTCCCAAATCAAAAAAAAAAAAAAAAAAAAAAAAAAGACCAACCCAACCCAACCCAACCCAAACCAAATCAGAAAAACAAATCCAAACAAGCAAACAACCAACCAAGAGGGCAGCTTAAGCAGTGTTTTTATCAGGGTCCCTGGGATGAATGAACTTTTATTGCTGCTGTTGCTGGCTCAGCAATCACCAAATTATCACCAAATGCCGGTGCTGGGCAGAGCTTCACTTTGTGGGTCACATCAGTTATGCTGTCTGCTTTACAGATAGTGAAAAGAAGTTTAAAAAAGTTAATAATTTAAAAAAATCGATAATTTGCCCAAGGTGGTAATAGAAGAGGAAAACTGATAAACTGCTATTCCTGCTTTCTCAAACCTATCACCAAGTGAGTCTTTGTTTTACATTATGAGGAGCTTGTGAAATACACATATACACATCTACTAGGTTGTTTTATTAATTAACTAATTTGTTTTTGAGAGAGGGTCTCACTATATACCTCAGGCTGGCGTCTAGTTCTCTGGGTAGCTCAGGCTAGCCTTGAACTTGGGATCCTCCTGTTTCTGCCTCCTAAGTGGTCTAATCTACCCGTTGCTCTTCTGGGGTTTAAATCTCATTCTGGAGACACAAGGAGGACACACTTACAGATGTGGGAGAGAAGGGCTTTGTGGATGGGCATGGAGCATGTCCAGTCTGGGTTCAGGACTCTGCTGGGTTACTATGCTCCCTCCCCGTGGGGAGCCTCATTCTGTGATTTCTGCCTGACTTGGGGACTGAGAATGGCACTGCTTAGGGAGACTCATTAGTTTCAGCTAGCCTTGTGGCAATTCCCCTGTTTCCACCTCATGAGTTCTGGGATTCATCACCACACCTGGCTAGATCAACATGGCAGCTGTTATCACCCACAAACCTGACAGCGCCGTTGGCAGCCAGCTGCAGACACGAGGTGCCTTCTGGCATCAAGTGCAAGGGTGGGGGGAGGGGCCTTCCGTGGATGGACCATTCCAGGTCTACACAGGAACTTCTAAGAGCAGGGGCATCCTGAGGATGCTGCTCAGGGAACCTCTGCTGGCATGAGGCTGGCCAAGGCCTGATAGGCATCTAGTGCTTTAAAAAATATTCTTTGAGAATTTCATAGTGCATACAATGTATTTTGATCATATTCATCTCTGACTTGTCCCCTCCAACTCCTCCTGGATCCCTTCCAGTGTCCCCTTCCCAACTTCATGTCTTTTTTTAAATTTATTTTTATTTTTTTATAACCCACTAAATCCAGTAAGGTCTGCCTGTATAACACATGGGTTTGGGGTATGGGGTCATCCACCAGAGCAGGGCAACCTAAGGGAGGTCTCACCTCTAAAGAAACTGACTTCCCTCCAGCACCCATCAACTGTCAGTAGCTCAAAAGGAGACAGCTTTTAAGCACCAGGACGATCAGGAAGTCACCAGCCAGGAAGCTGACAGGACACGGACACACAGAAGCCATGTAGAATGTCAGGCCCATTGCAGACAAATGGGGACAAACACTGGCGAGGTTGTGGAGAAAACAGAGCCCTCATTCACTGTTGGCGGAAGCGCAAACTGGCGCCACTGTGGTAATCAGTGTGGAGGCCTCTCAAGACACTACATACAGAATGCCCAAATAACCCAGCTCTATCACTCCTAGGCATCTGCTTCCGACCACAGAGATACTTGCACATCCATGGTTATTGTGGCTCTGTTGACAGTAGCCAGGAGAAGGAATAAGCCCAAGTGTCCATCAACTGATGAGTGGTTAATGAACGCGGGGCACATAGATAATGGACTTTTATTTGGCTGTAAAGAAAAATTAAACTTTAAAACGTGTAGGAAAATGGAAGGAACTAGAAAACATTACATCAACTGATACCCCAGAAAGACAAACACTAGGTCTTCTCTCTCGTATGTGGATCCTAGCTTCTAATTTTCATGTATGTGTATTCTTGTGGGAGAGAGTGGGCAGAGGTCAGGAAACTGGAAACTGCCCATGAGTGAGGCAAAAGAGGCTTTAAGGAATGGATGTGGAGAGGGCAGTAAAGTCCATGTGACACAGGAGAGGTGATTGTCCCTTAGGGTTGTAGATTTGTTAAACATAGACAGCAGCATGGCAGGGACTTGGAGGAGAGTTTGGGCCCACTTGGCAGCATGTGCACCCTTCTGTAGGTCTCAGAGGAAGACAAGGAATATCACATGATGAGCAGTCTACAGGGCAGACCCACAGCCAGGCCGAGGCTAATTCCTGGGTGGCAGTGGGAGGGCAGAGGTTCCTGCATTCCAAGGAAGGAATGTGTGAGCCTAAGAATGTGAGAGGCAGGAGTATATTTCATTAATGGGTATTATGGGGTGGGGATGTGCTACCTTTAGCTCTCTGATATCTTGGAGTCTGGTAACCTAGCCCTGTAGACTTCCTTTGGGGAAATGAGAATTACGGCACCTGACATTCTCCAGGAATCAGGTACCTGGGGGGTCCGTTAAAGGGTTGCAGATTCAAGGACTCTTGGTAGGGGACATGCCAGTTCCTTCAGAGTGGTCATGAAAAAGGGGCTGCTGTGGACTAGCAGGATCTGATTAGCTCCTGGCCCAAACCTAACACCATGGACATAGAAAGTGGAGTATGGGGTGGAACGGTTCCAGCGGAGAGTGGAGGGGGGCAGGGAGAGTCTTACCGGAATTGTTAGGGTCAGAGTGTGGGCCTTGGCCACCCAGCACCAGTCCTCAGTAGGGCAGTTAAAGAGACAGACATTAATGAAAGCAGAAAGAGGTTTAGTCAATGTGGTCCTGTTGGGAAGAGGAACAAAGAAGGTGCAGTGACCCCCAAGTCCATCCTCAGGGTCCTACAGGAGGTTTAGGTTTAACGAGGACAGGAGTGTGCATAGCTAAGCAGTACTGGTCAAGATGCCGTCCCGCCCATCACTGACCCCTCTGGACCCACTGGAGTTCTCAGCTCCAGTCTGTCCTGCACCGTGGTCTGACAGGTTGTCAGAACTGGGTGACATCTTTCTTGGCGACAAATTCCCTCTGGCTGGTTTAGCCTTTCCTTTCTCCCAGTGTGAGACTCCTGATAGCCAAAATCTGATGGCCAGAGGAAGGGACACAGGTGCCTCCAGGGAATATCTTCATTCCTGCCAGTACGTTTAGAAGGTGGGGGATCATGAGGAGCAGGTTGGGGTGAAGAGAAATGACCAAAGCTGAGCATGCATGAAAATATCACATGCTAATTAAAAGTTAAATTAAAAAAAAAAGAATTAGGGTCTTACCTGCAATCTCAACCCCCCAGGGCTTGAAAACAAGCTCTGAGTTGTCTTAAAAGTTTTTTCAAGCTGTATTTAATTTATTTTATCTGTATGGCTGTTTTGCCTGCATATACACACATCGCATGCATGCCTGGTGCCCACAGAGGTCAGAAGAGGGTATTGGGTCCTTGGAACTGGAGTTACAGGCAGTTACAGTGAGCCACCATGTCGTGCTGGGAATGGAACCTAGGTTCTCTGCAAGAGCAGCAGGTGCCCTTAACCACGGAGTCATCTCTCAGGCTCCTGCAGTTGTCCTTTGTCCTGCAAGACCTCCTTTGAGGAGTCTGGAAGGACCTTGATGCTCACTCCATCCCAGGCTGGTTCCACTAACTCTGTTGGTGATGGGGCTGGGGTGTGAGGGTGGAACAGGGATGGAGAAGGAAGGAAAAAGGGATAGAAGAATGAGGCGACGGTTTCCACTGTTTTCCGAGGGCTGCATCTGTGCATGCATGTTCCGCCTGCTTGGCATGTGAGGAGGGGTGTGGTGATTCAAGCTCATTACTCTGCAGCTCTGCCAGCTGCACCTCCCCGGCTGTGCTTCACACTCCAGGGGAGGGCAGCCTGGGACCTTGTCTAGCATGCATCTGGCTCCCTGTACATCGAGATGAGGGTAATTGTAGTAATAACAGCAGCAGGCTGGTGTGAGGCTTCCTGGCATGCTTCAGAGATGCTTGGCTGCTTACGTCGGTCTGTGGTTGAGTTCTTCATCATTTATCTCCTGGGACTTTTCATGCTTCATGTGAAATGTGTTCTGGCAGCTCATGGATGACCTGTCTCTGGTTGTACATTTGGAAGAAACATGTCGCATCTTTTTACAAACTGTTGGCGTAAACTGTGAAACACTCCAATCCCCGCTTATAGCAGATCTGGCTGCGTTGCGCTTGGAGA